TTTTCACTGTCAATTCCCTCAAAATATCACAATAGTATATGTACCAGTGTCATCGTTAGTCAAAAATAATTATAGTAGAATGTGCATAAAATGAATAGAAATATGTAAGACACATCATGTATTTATTTTGCTGAGCAATTCTATATTATTTGTTTTGACTATCAATTAATAGTATATCTTATCTTGTGATATCTTAGAAAGTTTTGATCATTAGAATGAGTTTGCAAGTTTAATAAAAGGTTATGTGTACCTTAGTGTTTTTGTTATCCTAAATATATTTTTTCATCTAATATCTATATACTATTCAAGGTTATGGCACCAAGTAAGCAATGGATGCAGCTTGTTGATAGTCGACTTGATGAAGCCTATTCAATCGGGGTTCATTAGTTCTTCTATTGATGAGATGCAGAGAGTTCCAAATAAATGACTCAGAGGATTGCCTCCGAAAAATGTTTGCCACTGGTAATTTTACTTTGCTAGTTAGAGCAAATGCTGATATCAATATGCTTTATAGTGTTATTTGAGATGTTTCCTAGTAGTTATTCTTTTTCTGGTATTATTGAATTATATACGGTAGAGTATGACTTAATGTCTTAACTATGAAAAACGGTTAGAAAGTTAAATTTTTGCTTTGCTCCAGAAGAACTTTTCAATACTCTAAACTTTAAAAAAATTATTTTTATTGTAGGATAAATTTGAGAGTGATGACATGGATATTCATCGTGATCATATTTTGGGTTGGATGAAGAAAATGGAGAAGACAATTGCATGCAAAGTATGTGAAGGGTAAGCTAATCCAAAAGGCTCTTAAAAATGTGTCAAAGGGGGTAGACAAGAAAGAATAGGAATGGTTGCCCTTTTGGCTAGCAATTCTTATTATCGTGTTCAGTATGGTGATATTCTATTTACTCCATAACTCCTTCTTGTCTATATTGTGAACCAAATCTCATGTGTGAGTCATGTGCAGTCAGAGTAAATTACACAAATCTTGCTTCATGTTGAGCTAGACATTAATAGTCTTACTTTCTCGAAAAAGAAAAAGAAACTAAAGCAACTTTATTTGAAGTATATTCAGTCTTGGGTTTGAGAAAGATAAAGGAGCTTAATATCTAAGACAGCAGTGGAATTGGCTTTTGAGGAAGTTACTGAGTTATATTCTTTACTAACCTACTAAGATCTACTTTTGATTAATCCTCAGTTTGACTTAAGAGAATATCTTCTTTGGTTATATTAGGATTTTGTACTTGAACCGAGAGTCTTTCGGAAACAACCTCTCTATTCCCTCAGGGTAGAAGTAAGGTTTATGTACATACTATCCTCCCCATACCCCACTAGTGAGATTTTATAGGGTTGCTATGGTTGTTGTTGAGTGTCTTGACTTTGTGGAAAGATGCTTCGAAACAGGTCTCTGGTGAAAAAAAATAACCTCTGGACCTACTAGAATTCTTCTCAATTGAGTCAAGATGCAGAATGTTTTCCAATTTTAAAAAAAAAACAATGTAAATGTTTGTTCTAACAAATGAGAAACCAGACCTGCTGGAAAGGGACTAATTAATCCAAGAACTAAGCTTGAAAAGACTAGATACAATACTATTTATAGCAAATTGCTTATCTTTTAATTACTTTGCTCTAACACAACGTGTCATAGACTGTTACTTCCAATTTGATTTGTATTGTCTGTATTTTCAAATGCATAGTTCTTCAGTTAAGTGGACACAATTCCCTGATTCTAGAGCTAGGATCTTTTGGTATCTTGATAATGAAATCCACCCTCCTCCATTTTCCGCTGACACTCTTCTTGATTCTATGTATGCAGTTTAGATTGTATACTTTTAGCTGAAGTCCATCCACTTCAGTTTCTAGTGGACTACCAGTTTTTGAGGATACTAGTTTTGTATCTCCAAATACATTTTGCTTGTCTTAGCAGATCTTATCTTTATGTATCTTGCATTTGTCATCCTTGTGTACTTGACTTACATAATGTATTTTTTGTTGCTAATTTGTCCTTATCAATAACTGTGTGAAATGAGAAGAACTTCCTCAGCTGAGCCTTTTGACTATTAGTTTTTTTATCTTAAAGCTTAGGAAAACTTGACTTATTGTTCTTATTATCCAAAAAATAGATATATTATTTCTAATCTACTCTTGTTTATTGTCATGCAACCTCTTTTACATTGACGGTTTGTTTTTCAAGTATATATAATTACATTTGATGAATTTGGGCATTTATTCAGGTAAGTGGTTAAATAATTATCCCATTAAAATTTATTTTCTATTTTCCTTCAATTTATTCTTGAGAATAATTATTTGCATCTTTTTTTTCTAGATTTTGGAGACTATAATTTACATATCAAGATGCAGCTTTTGGATACATATATAAAAGATGACTATGGTTTTGTAATGATATATTATTGCAAAAACTATTATTATATGTTTAATCTAGCAATATTAATTAGGTGTTTTTGCTATGGTTTTTTGTAAAAGATATTGTGACTTACATTATGGCTATATATACATCTTGCCATTAACAAGAAGTTACTCAATTTTTGTGATAGAAAGATTTATATTACATTATTTCTTGTGACCATGGTGGTTAGAGAATTTTATTGATTAAAATTGAGATTTATTCATATAAACCTTTAGGGACTAGCTGTAATGTCTTTAAGGACCAAATTGGTTGTTCTTAAAATAGTCATTTGATCAATTTAATAGATACTGGTTTATAATTATGGACCAGAAAAAGTAGTTCCCAAAATGTTTTAGGGACCAGAAAAATCTGGTAGCTAAATCAATTAAGGACAAGATACTAACTAATTAAGGTATTATTTTTCTTTCATCATGGACAGAAATATGGTCCTTAAAAATATTTTAGACAAGGGAACACTGTTGGTCGCTGAAGCCCTTTAGAGACCGGCTCAAAATCCCCGTCACTATTGACCTTTAGCGGCGAAGCATATAGCGACGGGTCGCGACCGGGTGATGCTGGTCGTTGTTTGTCTTTAAGGACCAGATTCTAGTATATAGGGATCATTTTTCTTGTCGCTAATAACTGTTTTTCTTGTAGTGGCGTAATTGTGTATACTTTTTCCTTTCCGTAATTATTACTACATTGCTCCCTAAAGTCTAGGGATTTATAATATTGTTAAAAAGAGGAACCAAAAACTAGCATTTTTATCTGCATACGCATAAGATCAGATTGATTACTCTTGTACTATTGTTCTTAAGGTGTTTCATTCAAAACGAATAGCTTATTCATAGGTTTCGCATCACATCATTCAATTACTACGACCAGCTATACACTAACACTAACAAAAATACATAGATAAGAGAAAAGAGTACATGTTAGTTAGTACCTCCATAAAAATTCTTGTGGCCTCTTCAGGTGTATGAGAGTTGATTATGTGAAGGGCCGCCTCCTAAAACAAAACATTAATTAACAACAATTAAAAACATCAGCATTAACTACTAAACACAATGCTTTAGAAAATACAAATAAGGCATATATATATAGATCCAAACCCTAAGAGAATTGAGTTCTTGCTCTGTTAAAGTCTTTGGCTCTTCAATGGACGGCGTCCGGTGGTGGCCCGTCTTAATGGGTGGTGATGGTGGCGGAGACTCCATATACTCAAACAAATAGAGTACTAAAGAGTTGCAAAAAACAGAGAAATTAAAGAATAATGTAGATGAAAGAAGAGAATGATAATAGATTTTACGGAGAAATTAAAGTGTAGAGGAGGAGAGGATAATTAACGTGGACGTGGCAGACGTTACAAAGGTGGTACCATGCATGCTTAATGCTTTACTTCTAACTTTCCAAAAAATTGGCCAGCCGTTTCTCATCTTTCATCTTTAACATCTGGTTCTGTACTTCACCTCTTTCCACTCCATGCCAAATCTAGCCATAAACACACTCACTCTCCCAACAAACTCTCTCTCTCTTTGACCTTGTTTCTTGGCGATCATGAAAATGAAAAGTAAGATGGTCTAAAGTTTAAGTTGGATTTTGTAGAAATTAGTCATAGCAATAGATGTTGTACATAGGCAATTGTAGTTGTACGGTGATAGTTGTAAAGAGAGTAAATAGACTAGCTAATTAATTGTACTAGTTAAGGCATAGGAGTTGTACTATATATAGTTGAGGGGTACAAGGGTAATAATTAACTACTTCATTTCTTTCTTTCTCTCTCTATCTACGACTTTCTCTCCTCTCCTTGTAAACTCAGAATCAGTCTCTCTTTCAATATGGTATCAGAGCCATGAATCCATGGCGTTTTCTAAGTCGAGAATCTGAGAAATGGAGGATAGCTAGTAGTGTTCTACTACAATTTAGTTGAAGATCGAAGATTTGAGAGAAGCAATTTCGAGCAAACCCTAGTTTTTTCCAATTTTCGGTAATCGATCCAATTGCCCGCAATTGAGGTCATTCTCACTACAAATCTCACTGATACACAAGGTTCCTCATTTCAATCTTGTCTATTACTGAGAAATTGAGTTCGAAAATGACACAAGGAATCACAGATCTGGAGAAAAGCAATTCGGAGAAATTCACCGATATTCATCCTCGTCATCCTCTCTACCTATATCCATCAGACACACCAGGTAGTATCTTAATTCCACAACAATTAACTGGAATTGAAAACTACGTTGCATGGAGTAATTCAATGAGAGTCGCACTATTGGCAAAAAATAAATTAGGGTTTATAGATGGCAAGTATCTTAAAGAGCATTACAAAGGTGACTTAGAGCATGAATGGGAAAGATGTAATGCATTTGTGCTATCCTGGATTACTAATTCTGTGTCGAAAGAGCTTGCAAATGGCTTAATGTACTCAACCAATGAACACAATGTCTGAATAGATTTAAAAGAACGTTTTGATAAAAAGAATCTGACTAGGGTGTATCAATTGTTACGTGAAATTTGCACCATAAACCAAGGGACTGCTTCAATTTCAGAATATTTTTCAAAACTGAAAAATGCTTGGGATGAGTATTGGTCAATGGTGGCACTTCTTTGTGATTGTGAGAAGCACAAGAAGTATGAAGAACATATGGAGCAACATAAGCTAGTACAGTTCCTGATGGGATTAAATGAAACTTATGCACAAGCAAGGAGTCAAGTATTGTTGATTGTACCAGTGCCAACACTTAATCAAGCTTACAACATGATTATGCAAGATGAGAGTCAAAGAACACAGTCCAGTATGATTTCACAACTCAGCACAGGATTGCAGCAGATGAATATGATTGATCCAACAGCCTTTGCCTTCACTCAGAACAATAAGTCCAAGAAGAATAATGGGATGTACTGTAATTATTGTCATTTGAAGGTGCATCTGAAGGAGAATTGTTACAGTTGGTTGGATATCCCCCAGGTCATAAGTTTAATAGAAGAAAGGGCTTTGACAGGTCACAAGGTTCAGGGAATTACAAGGGAGCATCAGCAAATAATGCTAACTTTGTGGAAGAACCATAAGCTAGTAATACACCAACTCATAGTGCTTTGCCAATGTTTACTGCAGATCAATATCAACAACTTTTGAAGCTGATCAACCAAGAGCCAACTGTTGCAGAGTCAAGAGCTAATATGGTAGGTATAAAAGAACTTCTTACTACCTGTTTGCTTGCAGGTTCTGAACCTGATTCTTTGGTGATTGACACTGGAGCCTCAAACCATATGGTTTCTAGTATGAACCTTTTAACTAAATCTACTCTTGTTAAATCTAATTTCAACAAAGTACACCTACCTAATGGGCATACAACTTCAGTAACACACACAGGATCCTTGACATTACCAAATGATATGTCATTGTATAATATGTTACATATTCCAAAATTTCAATATAATATGATATCAATCTCCAAACTCACCAAGGAATTGAAGTGTTGTGCTTTATTCTTCCCTGAGTTTTGTATCTTCTAGGACCTTTTTACTGGCAAGGCGGGGGTGATTGGTAAGGAGAAGGGTGGTCTTTACATACTTCAACCTACCAAAAAGTCATTACCAGTCAAAGGACCTTGGCAGTCTTCCTTTTCAGTACTCAGTACACCTAATCCAATTATAAGTTCTACTCCAGCTCTTCACACATCAGTTTCAGACTTATCTCACTCCTCATCACTGGAATCCAGTCATTACAATATATGTCATCAAAGACTTGGCCATGACAGTCATACAAAAAATACCTTCCTTGAAGAATCAATTGTTGAATAATGACTCTATGTCTTGTATTGTTTGTCCTTTAGCCATGCAAACTAGATTTTCATTTCCTACTAGTGTCAAGAAAACTGTACCTCCTTTTGAAATTGTACATATGGATGTGTGGGGTCCATAAAAACAATGTACTTACAATGGGTATAGATACTTCCTTACTATTGTGGATGATTAATTTAGAATGACATGGATTTATTTGATAAGAATGAAGAGTGATGCTTTTCTTTTGATCAAATCCTTTCTCACCTTAGCTAAAATACAATTTTTTGCCACTATTAAAGTCATCTGATAATGGCCTTGATTTTTTTAATTCACAAGTTTTCACACTCTTTACTTCTCTTGGAATTGTCCATCGGAGTTCTTGTGTACACACTCCACAACAAAATGGAGTGGCTGCAAGAAAACATAGACATTTACTTGAAATGGCTAGAGATCTTAGATTTCAAGCTCATGCACCTTTAAAGTTTTGGGGGGAATGTGTTCTCACAGTAGCTTTCCTTATTAATAGGTTGCCATCTTCGGTGCTTTCAGCGAAATCACCTTTTGAGATGTTTCGTGGATACTCACCCTCACTTGTTCACATCAAAGTATTTGGTTGTCTGTGTTATACAACAACTCCCCATCTCCTTGAAAAATTTGCTTCTAAAGTTATTCCTGTCATCTTCATGGGATACTCAGAAACTCAAAAAGGTTAGAAGCTATATAACATCTCCACTGGCACTTTCTTTGTCAGTAGGGATGTATCTTTTAGGGAAAATGTGTTTCCTTTCAAACATCATAAATCCACTTTTCTATGTTATCCTACTCTTGATTCCACTCATCTCTTTCCTTCTAAATCTTCCACTCCACCTATTGATGATATTTTTCCTACCATTCCCATGCCAAGCTCAGATATTCCTTCACCCTCAACTCCTGAAGTCTCTCCTCATTTATCTTCCACATCTGCTAATCCTTCTAATTCTAATTCTGCTCCTCTTTCTTACCTTCTACTCCTATTACTTCTCCTTCTCCACCCTCTCCATGTCATTTGCCTCATCCTTCCCCTTCCTCACCTACTGGTCTTACTCTAAGCCTCCTATTTGGTTTACAAAGTATGTTCCTGGCACTAAGTCTTCTCATACTCCTTATCCTTTATTTGTTTCCCTTTGTTATTCTGCCCTATCTCCCTCCTATAGGGCATGTTTTACTGCTTTCTCTTCTATTGTTGAGCCCCACTCCTTTGAGCAGGCTGTTAGTGATAGTAATTGGGTTTAGGCTATGAACCTTGAACTTCAGGCTCTCATTGACAATCACACCTGGGAATTAGTGGATCTGCTTGCAGGAAAAACTCTCATTGGATGTAAGTGGGTCTTTAAGGTGAAGTATAAAGCTGATGGGAATGTGGAAAGGTTTAAGGCAAGACTTGTTGCAAAGGGTTTCACTCAACAAGAGGGTCTTGTTATCATGAGACATTTTCTCCAGTGGTTAAGTGGTTAAAATGGTCACTGTTAGAAATGTTGTGGCTATTGCACCTTAACATAATTGGCCTTTATTCCAGATGGATATCTACAATGCTTTCCTCCAAGGGGATCTTTCTGAAGAGGTTTACATGTCTTTGCCTCAGGGATTTGGTAGTCAAGGGGAGACTAAAGTGTGCAAACTTCTCAAATACCTCTATGGTCTTAAATAGGCTAGTAGACAATGGAATTTGAAGCTCACATCAGCTCTTATACATTCTGGCTTCACACAAAGCAAGTTGGACTACTCTCTATTCACCAAAAGACAGAATAATGACATAGTTATCATCCTGGTTTATGTTGATGATTTGTTAATTACAGGGAGTGACCAGGAGCTAATTCAAGAGGCCAAAACTATTTTGAATGGAAACTTCAAAATGAAGGACTTGGGAGAGTTGAGATTCTTTCTAGGAATTGAGTTTGCAAGGTTAAGCAAGGGAATCCTTATAAACCAAAGAAAATATGCACTGGAGCTTGTATCAGATGTGGATTGGGAGCAGCAAAGCCAACTGATTCACCTCTGGATCAGAACTTGAAACTCACCAGTGTAGAATATGATAAACATTGTGGAGGACAAACAACTGACGAAAATCTGGAGGACAGAAGAGTATATCAGAGGTTAATTGGGAGGCTCTTATACCTGGCAATCATAAAACCTGACATATATTTTGCAGTTCAGGTTCTGAGTCAGTTTATGAATGCTCCAAAACAGTCTCACTATGAAGCAACTTTAAGGGTAATAAAATATGTGAAAGGTTCATCAGGACATGGACTGTTAATGAGCAGCAAGGCTAGTGGAAAAGTGACGGCATTTAGTGATGCAGATTAGGCATCTTACTCAATGACCAGGAAGTCATCCACAGGATATTGCATAAAACTGGGAGATTCCATTATCTCATGGAAATCCAAGAAATAGAGTAATGGGTCAAGGAGTTTAGCAGAGGCTGAGTATAGAAGTATGGCCGCTACTGTGGCTGAGTTAGTGAGGGTGCATGGGTTGTTAGAAGAATTGGGAGTAAAGGTTGAGTTGCCTATGGAGCTTCATTGTGACAACAAAGCAGCCTTACAAATTGCATCTAATCCAATATATCATGAGCGTACAAAGCACATAGAAATTGATTGTCACTTTATTAGAAAAAAATTGCAACAAGGGTTGATCAAAACAACACATGTCCCAAGCAGGAACCAAATTGCAGACATATTGACTAAGGCACTCGGGAAACAATTGCACAGTGAAATGGTTGGCAAGTTGGGGATGATAAATATCTTCTCACCACCCAACTTGAGGGGGGTGTAGAAATTAGTCATAGCAATAGATGTTGTACATAGGCAATTGTAGTTGTATCGTGATAGTTGTAAATAGAGTAAATAGATTAGCTAATTAATTGTACTAGTTAAGGCATAGGAGTTGTATTATATATAGTGGAACGGTACAAGTGTAATAACTAACTATTTCATTTCTTCAATATACAGAGTAGTTCTTTCTCTCTCTATCTGCGACTTTCTCTCCTCTCCTTGTAAACTCAGAATCAATCTCTCTTTCAATAGATTTGCTATATCCACTTATACGGTAAGCATATATATGTTGTAACGTTAAGTACTTCGTATTACGTGGCGAAACTAGTAATTTCCTTAAGGGTGTTCAAATTTGAAATAAGTGGGAAAAAATTCCGGCAAAGGATGTTCAATATGTGTTATATACTTCTAAAACGAAATATTTTACCTGTATACACAGTGTAATTTTTCGATGAAGGATGGTACTTGACCACCCTTATGACCATGTGGCTTCGTCCCTGCTTGTATTATAATCTTTTAGCTAGGTTAAATTACAAGTACGTTGTATTTTTGGTTTCTCACTTGATGATGTTCGATGCCCACAATGGTACCCGAATATTCGGATTCGTACCGCATAAGATTCATTAAAGACGGAAGCGCTCTCTACCACGATTAAAAATGTTTAATTTACTTTATGTTGGTACCTGAACAAAGAGATTAACTATGATTGGGATAGAAATTTAGTTATTTTAGAATTTAATTTCACCCTATTGAATGTGGTTTTGAAGAATGGGTAAAACTGAAAAGACGAATAGTTCTATTCCAAGAGGCTGTGCTGTATTGGTTGTGGAGAAAGTTCTTTCACAGCTGGATTAATTGGACTAATTATGAGTAGAAATTCTAAGCCTAGTAGTTGACAGGTCAACGTACATTCATGAGATACTTGGGCCTTAATACGTTTGTCCAGCTAATATATTGATAATTTCGTTGTTATTGTACTACCTTTGATCTATATAATCTACATCTTTTAAAATTGGGTGAAATTCAAAAATAGTCATATTTACAATTGGTAATTAAAAATAGTCACAGTTTCAAAAGTAATTAAAATTTAGCCATTTTTCATGTAAAGATAAAATCTAAACAAAAATAATGTTAAAAAATCCAGAAATATTCCAGCATAAAATGGTGGAGTTCGAATTTTTTATATATGAGATTCCAGCATAATCTGCTGGAATTTTATAATGTGTTGAAGTTCCATCATTAATATGCTGGAAGTTTATATGCATGAGCTCCATAATCTCGCATTTTATGCTGGAACTTTCCGTGTACTAGAGTTCCAACATAATATGCTAGAAGTTTATATGCACAAGCTCCATAATCCCACATATTATATTGGAACTTTTCGTGTTTCAGTAAAACGGTGGCTATTTTTTAATGAGTTCGCAAATGCTAACTATTTTTCGATTACCATGATGGAAAAATGGCTATCCCGTGCTATTTTAACTTTAAAATTTGTGCACATTCCTCAAAAACGTCATTTTGTAGGCTTAGTAATAAGAGGATTCATTTAAATTCTCTTAATTCTCTTCAAATATCACTTAATTAACATTTCACTAATTAAGACAATAAGAGTAATTTGGAGGTAAAAGAATAAATATCTTCTTATTTTGAAAAAAAGTTATTTTATCAAAGCGATTGATATTCGGGACCGAAGGTAGTTAACTATAGGGTATTAATTTCCCACTCGGTGCTTGTGAAAAATAAAAGAAAACACAAAACAAAAGAAAGAGAGAAAGTTGAGATACTGAAATAGGGCTTTGTTCTGGAAAGATAGATGAAACCTTATAGTGGCCTGGATTTTATAATAACATATTTTCCATATTCGGCGAGATCTGGGTGCAGGCTGTGTGTTCAATGTGATTAGGCTGGGCTCCATCACTCCTATCATCTAATCCTATTAGTACCAAACGAAATGAGAAAAGAAAAAAAAAGATTTTTACATACCTATACACTATTAAAAATTTTATTACCCTCCCTACTCAAATTTTAATTTAATTACATCCTAATGATCTTATATACAAATTTATCAATTATATATAATTTAGGAATTAAATGAGTATTCTTTTACATTAGGAATCAATTATTTCACATCCTCTCTCTCTCTCTCTCTCTTTTAATTTCTAATTTCAGTAATGTAGAGCAAAGAAAAGAGAGCAACAATTCCACCATTGACAGCCATTAAAAAGCTTTGAATTCGAATTTGGATTTTCAAAAATCATTATTTGTTTGGATTGAGTATTGTTGTAAACAATTGAGAATATTATTTGGAGTTTATATCTCAATTTTGAGAGTGTTTTGGTGAAGATTAGACTTGATTTTGACTGAATTTCAGATTGAAAGAAGAAGAAGAAGAAGAAGAAGAAGAAGAAGAAGAAGAAGAAGAAGAAGAAGAAGAAGAAGAAGAAGAAGAAGAAATGATATACATTATACTTACGAAACTGTAGTAAAGTTGTAATAAAATTGTAGGTAAATTGTATTCTGTTGTTTATATATATATATTTATTTAAATATTATATGAAAGTTGAACAATATTGTATAAAAATTATATTTAAGTTGTATGATATTGTAGTTGTATATAACTGGGTAGAAATAATGTATGAAAGTTGTAGATAAGTTGTATAATATATAATTAGTTGTATGAAATTTATTTCTACTATGTATAAATCAGAAACAAACGGTATACTGTATTAAATTTATATAAAAATTATATTTAAGTGGTATGATATTGTAGTTGTATATAACTGCGTAAAAATAATGTATGAAAGTTGTAGATAAATTATAGATAAGTTGTATAATATATAATTAGTTGTATGAAATTTATTTTTAATATGTATAAATCAGATACAAAATTGTAACGACCCAACTGGTCGTTTTGAATAATTGCGTCTGGTTCGGCAGTTTGAGGTCACGAGCAGCCTCACATTATGTATATCGACTTGTGTGCATGGTTGGATTCAGTTTCTGGATGAATCGGAGTTGAATTGGAAGAAAGAACATGGTTTTGGAAGCTTAAGCGAACAGAATTTGACCGGAATTTGACTTTTGAGTAAACAGCTTTGGAATGAGTTTTGGATATTATCAGTAGCTTCGTATGGTGATGTTGGACTTGGGCGTGTGTTCGGATTTGGATTTGGAGGCCCGTAGGTTAATTTGAGGCATTTCGGTGAAAGTTGGAAAAGTTGAAGTTTGGAAAAATGGAGAGGATTGACCGAGAGTTGACTTTTATGATATCGGAGTCGGAATACAATTCCGGGAGTTGGAGTTGGTTTGTAATGTCAGTTGTGACTTGTGTGCAAAATTTGGGGTCAATCGGATTTGGTTTGGTTAGTTTCGGCATCGGTTGTAGGATTCTTGAAATTTCAAGTTCTTTAGGTTTGGATTGGAGGGCGATTCGTGGTTTTAGCGTTGTTGGATGTGATTTGAGAGTGGGGCTAATTTTGTATGATGTTATGGGATGTATTGGTACATTTGGTTGAGGTTCTGAGGGTCTCGGATGAGTTTTGGGGTGAGTTTTGAGCGAGTTCGGACTTTTCGGCACTCGGAAGTTGTTCCGGATCATGGGGGGGCCGCGGACAGAGGTAAATTATTGCCCCAGCCGCCAAAAGGACTACTACAGCAGTGGAATTTTCGCTGTCAGCAGAAATTTGTCCGCGGCCGAGGTCATGAAGAACCCGCAGGTTTGTTGGTCCGACTTCGGAAGCCTATATTTTTTTGTTTACAAAGAATTTTGAGATGATTCGAAAACAAAAGTTGTAGTCCTTCGTGTCTAGTTTCCAGAAAGGTAAAGAAATCATAATTTAGACATATTTAAAGAAAGTTATTAGCCAAAATACTAAGGCTTGTCTGTGCAGCCACCAGAAACGCTGACCGCGCTACTTTTTCGCGACCGCGGAGGGGTGAGCACTGCATCGGTGATTTTCCGCAGTCAGCGGTGATGAAAATCTGGGAGGTGCACTATAAATACTAGATTTAGCATTTTATTTCATATTTTTACCTAGAGAGCTCGGATCTTGATAATTTTTTGAAGGTTTTTCAAGAAATTCATCGGGGTAAGTGATTCTAACTCGGATTTGGCTAAAATACATGAATCTATCATTGAATTCATCATTTGATTTGTGATTTGGGATGAAATTTGGGGAAAATCTGTAAAGTTTTTCAAAAATGTAAAATGATGATTTGAATGATCAAATTATATCGGAATTAGATAATTTTTGTATGACTGAACTCATAGCGGAATGGGTATTCGATTTTTGTAAATTTTGTCGGGTTCCGAGGTGCGGGTCAGGGGAGTTGACCTTTGTTGACTTTTTGCAAATTATATAAGAATCATAGTTTTGTTAATTGAAATTGTTTTCTCTTGCATTGTTTGATGTATTCAAGTTGTCTTTTGCTAGATTGAGCCGAGCGTTGATGAATTGGTAAAGGAAAAGCTAAATTGAGTATTGAATTGGCCGGATTGAGGTAAGTATCTTGCCTAACCTTGTGTGGGGGACT